AAAAAGCTACAATGCTACATAAATTCTAAAGTGGCTACTATTTCATAGCTTCAAAAATTTTGTTACTTGTTCAAAACAAAAGAAACTTGGGAACGAACACTTTAAACATGAAAATTTTTAAATATGATTGTGTTCATAACTTTAGTGCGTTGTGTTTACCTTTAAAGAATATTTCAACTGCTCAACTCAATCAAATTGCTCATATCTCTTTACAAAAAAAGTAATCAGGGGAATTGTTTATCAACTTTAGGTTTCAACTTTATGACACTAAAATTTAATGGGCTGCATTCCAAATTTAAATGAAACATTGAATTTTTTAATTTTGTAAAAAATTTTAATCCTTGACTTGCACTAGGCGACAAATGAAAGTGTGCACCTTGTTCTAATATAATATTCAGAATTATTTTTATGAAAAATTGTTTGCATTAATTATTTATGCAAATATTGTTTATTCCATATAAATGAAAGTTTCATGCTTTAAATAAATATCACAAAAATTCTAAAAATTTCATAAAAATTTTAAACTTTTTACTCAGAGTTTCTATAAAATTTTCGCTGACGAATTTTTGCACTTTTTTCCATATAAGCACGAATTTCTTATGAAATAAAATGCGAGAGACCGTTAGCAACAAAATTTCAAAAAATCAACGCCAGTTTTTGTAAACTGCACTTGTTACATAAGAAAACGGTAATAACAGTCTCAAAAAAAAATTCCAGATTTTTTAGCCGGTTGACTTCGTTAACGTATGCGGAATGAAATACGAACTGATGCAGTAAAAAGAAATAGCTATACTTTAGGATGCAACAAATATTGTTTTCCACTCACATAGATATTGTCGAAATTTCCAAGAAACATTTTTATAGAAAAGACTCATGTCCTTAACGATTGACCTATTTAAGTTTACAGGCATAGTCCGGAGGGCTTTTTCAAAAATATTATTTTGGAACTTTATTGTCCCAATTTGAGTTATTATTTTTTTTTAGCCATTTAGACCATAATTAGTTCAGAGTCATATTTCGGTGTCCTTTTATGGGCCCCAATGAAAAATACTTCCCTAATCCGTTGTACAAAACTGAAATGAATGTGGTGCAAGCAAATTTTGGGAAAGCGCTTTTAATTTTCCTTTTCAACGTTTAAAAGATCTTGGGTAGAGTGGTTTGCACATATTTCACTTTATCACTGGCTCTTGCATAGTCTCTAATGTTTTTTCGCTTACTTTGCACTTTATTGTCATTATACGCTGTGATTTTGCAGAGAGATCAAGCAATTTATGATTCTTGTTACGGTCTTATTTCGCTGCTATTTGAAACATGTTTTTCGTACTCATGGGGTTACCTTCTAGTGTTTTCCTATTCTTTAAAGTCGACATTTCCTTTGTACATAAAATATTTTTTAAGTCTCATGGAGAAAAAATGAAAAATCATGTTATTTTTCGTGAGATCGTTCGCTTTCAAGGAAATTATTTCAGTATTATAATATGCAACGAGGTAATTTTTAGTGGAATGCTTGTTAAGATTGCGCAGTATATTTTGGTATACTTAGTTTGGCTCCTGTGTTCACCGATTTTTTTTTAATCTGCTTAGATATTGTCCATATTTCATTCCGCATACGTTAGACAAAATAGAATGGCCTAAAAAATTGGCATACTGAAAAATTTTCTAGAAATTCTGAATAAAAAGTTTAAAGTTTTGATGAATATTGTTTACTTACTTAATTTACTATATTCTCCTATATAATTAATGCAAACAATTTTTTATTAAAATAATTCTGGATATTGTATTAAATAAAAAAATAAAGTGATAAAATAAAAAATTAAATTCCAGCTTAAAAAAAATTGGCTACGTTCCAGTCAGACTTGCTAGATTTTACGCCCCAAAAAAATGTAGGAGTGGCACTAGTTAACACTAGTTAAAATTCGTTACTTTTTCGTATTAATGACAAATTTCATTCTTGATACTACTAATAATACTAAAAATCCTTCCGCATTTCTAATTAAATTTTCTCTCTTTTATTAGCTTTCGCGGCAACTGGAACTGTTTCTCATGGCCAGCGTATTTTATTTCGACCACCCGTTGTACGGCACCGAGGCTGCCTCTATGAAATACAGTCATGGTCCGCTGGTGTCAGCACTAAGTGCAAGCTCGCACGATTATGGCACGTCTACGAGTAAGGGAACTTCACAATCGGGTGTTCTCGGGGTTGGTGTGGATTCCTCCAAAGCCGGTATTGGCACATCAGTAAATAGTGCAGCGGGGGCTGCAGCTGCTGCACTAGATAGCTCAACAGACACCGGAGGCGAAGTTGTTGTTCCTAAAACGTTTCCCCTGAGCGCGCAAGAACCAACGTGTGAACAGTTACGAGCTATGTGGATGTAAGTGTGCACGCAAAGAATATATTTATGTACATACATACATACAGTTGTCCACAAAATAATAGGAGTGCGATATTTTGACCAGTTTTGGCTATTTGTCTTTTGTTTATTTAATGTTTATTGTTTTTTTTTTAAAGCCTAGCTGGCTATACAACAAACACCATATAAATTCAGATTTTAAACTTTGTATAAAAATTATAAAAATTTTGCAATTTTTCACCC